CTCTGATTTTGGCAATGTTCCTAATTGGCAAGAAATGTCTATAAACAGTATATTTTTCAAAATTTCCTTTAAGCTAGAGGTATTTGAGAACTATTCACAGTATATTCCAACACATTTTACCACATCTGTATTTAAATCTTTAACTTGCAAGGTACAATGTGCATTTCTTTGAGGAATGCTTCTTTAACAATGTATGTTTGCAGGCTAAACGTGCAAAGAGCATTTTTAATTCCACAAAACAAACTGGATTTTGAAGGATTTTTCTATTGAAAGTAATTTTAAACATATTCCCAACCATCTTTTATTCATTTAAGACAAAGTGTTGAATGGTATCATGTACCGTTAGTTACAACTGTTTCCATACCAGCAGTTTAAAACAATCTGAGTTCCATCACTGAAAACGTCTTCTAAATTTCAAGTTCCTATTTCTTTTTCAGACCAATGTTTCCTATTTTGCTGTACGTGTTTTATATCACCTCATGGCCCCAAATCAAAGCAGACAGATCAAATACAGATAATGTTTCCCAGTTTTCTGCAACATAAAACTGAAGAATGTTCAGTGAAAAAAAAAATCAAACATGTTTGTCCACAAACGATACAAAAAGAGACAAGGAAAGGAAAGCAGAAACATATTTTTCCGTCAGTAACAGTTGGTGTTTACTTGAAACACAATCTGAACTTCAAGGAAGAAACTATCAAACAAACGTAGGAGGTTCCTTCGTTGTCAAGGATTTGGTTTCCTTTGACTACAGGAAGTTATTTTGCTCRTTATCTCAGTCATACATAAATGTTTACATCTGATATGGTGATAGACATCTGATATTTTGTTTCTGCTCTATTGACCTTCATAGGAGAKCTCTGAAAGGCRCGATGCTATTTTTGAACACTCCGCTGACTTTTGTGACTTTAAGTTCTGCATCTGGATGAACGGAGCTCAAACAGCACAAACAAGCTCAGAAAGCTCCAACAATATGAGCTGCATTGTTTGTGAAAGCGCCCAGCGTTCCCAGCACACCCCTCTGGTTTCCCACCGTCTGCCTCTCGGCCCGCATGAAGCATGTAAGGGAGTGTCGGTCATGCTATAAACAAGTGTTCCCAGATAAAGCCGGGTTGCAGCACCATTGGCACCTTGAATGGTTCTTTTTCATTCTGCGGTGACCCCTGTGTGCACTTATAAGCTTGCATGTGAATGGATGCACGTATAGAGTGGGGGGTATGGAGAAAGTACCCGGCTACTTAATTAAGCTACCGAGAATGTTGTCACAAGCAGGGGTTGAAGAAGGTCACTTGGACACAAGATTTTGTGGGGAGAGAAATGTTGAAAAGGGATCTTTTATTGTTTTTATTCATGTAAATAAATTAATTGTATTATTTACTGATTATCTAAAAAAAAGTCAGATTGTAGGACATGCTTCTCCCACGTTGTACTTATGATGTCAGGTGGGTCTTTATATGTTGCAAAGCTAAAGCTCATTTTTCTAAACAATACCRATGCACGTCTTAAAGATGATATGGCTTTACTCAGAGTTAGAACGGGATAAGTTTGTTTCTAAGTCTTAAAACRTTGAATAGACAGTATCTTTATCACCCACTGCCAAAAGGTGCAGCTGGATAATTCAGTCATTCAMAAAACACACATTCGGTGTGACATCTTACAATGTTACATGACAACATTTTAAAGATTTGACCAAAAATAACCCCAGTTGTGCCATTTCTTAACAAAAGATGATTTTAGTTTAGAACTCTGGCATGAAGAAGATGAAAGCTTTGAAAAACGTTTTTCCTTTTAAGATTTTACTGTGTATATATAGTTTTTCAAATTGGTTTTGCCTTTTATACTGCTGTAACAATGTAAATTTCCCCACTGCGGGATTAATAAAGGAATATCTTATCTTATCTTATCTTACTGTATGGGGTGCCAAATGTAAAATAAAATGTTAAAAATAGTCATGAACACATTTTTATTATTTAGCTCACTTGGCAAAAAAAATTTCCCCTAACAGTTTGTTATTTAGCTCATGTTCTTACATTTTGCTATTTTTTTAAACAAATGTTAAATTTAAACATTATGTTGTGGCTACATGTAAAAGTTTACATTAAGTACGTCAAAATGCAACACAACCTTTTGGTGTGAGGCACTTTTATGGCATCATCATTCTGTAACAAAAACAACTGCTACTGCTGCTAACACTGCAAGGCATTAGTTGCAGTCGGTGTCCGAGCTGCACTTCAAACTGCTGGACCACAGGATCTATCTATCTATCTATCTATNTATCTATCTATCTTTTGTTTTCAATAAGCACATTTTGAATTTAAATTTTAAATACTGTATTTAGCAGCGTTTGCTCTTGTCTCAGGATGATGATGTCACAGCAAAAACTAAGCTTCCTTCCATTCTGAAATTATTTAACATAAGATTTATCATTTATAGCTGCAACATTTAAAATTTGATTTTTACATCTAGATTTACATATTTAGATTTAGGATTTAATATTGAGACATGCAATTTTATATTTAAAATTAACATTTAGCAAAATTGGAAAAATGTGAGAATATTGAGCTAAATAACATTTTAAATAGAATTTTGCTCTCAAAGTGAGCTAAATAATGAAAATGTGTTTGTGACTTTTTAAACAAAATATTTTAAACTTGGTGCCCTATATTACCCAATGCAATTTTTTTTAAACTTTAATGAATATGTGTCTCTTGGAGAAGGTACAAAAAAGAGCTGGTAATAAAAACAATTTTTTACTGTTTTACTTTGCAAAGGTTTCTATTCTTTTAGCAGCTTGCAGATAAATGAACTTATCTAGATCGTGTTTTGGTCCATCTGTTGGGCCGTTCCGTCAGGTGCACTTTCTTTGGAGAGAACTGCGCTGTGCGTAAAGGAGGAGTTTCCAGGAGCCACACAGCTCTTTCTTCTTTCTCTCTCCTTGCTGAAAAAGGCGTGGTGTATCTCTCTCCCTGACTGGAAGAGACTTCTGTTGGGAATGAGCTGCTGAAGCATTCAGAGGCGAGTTCAGTGTCTCTGCTCAGCAGCCCGGGCAGAGCCGCGGTCACTCAGCTGAGAGGACATCCGGACGGGCGCCCTTTTTTACGCGCTCCGGGAATCTGCAGAGACTTTAAAATAAAAGGGACCGCGATGAAAGGGATCAAATAAGTACAAAAAAAATCTCGGATTTTTGCATTTCAGTAAAAAAAAAAATCATAAAAACAAGACGATTTTAAAAAAATGAGGGGATTTACACCTTTCTTCATCATGGTTGCGCTCCTCATCGCCACCATCTCTGCAACCAAGATTAACGTGCCAAGACTGAGGCTGGCCTTTAAAGGTATTTATCACCTCTCTAATGGGATGCTCGTTATGATTCAGAGCGCGCGCGCTTGTCCGCAGGTGGCTTCAACTGGCAATCAGGTGTGAGATTTTTAGCTTCAGAAAGTTTGGTTTGTTCTTCTAATTTCCACCCTGCTCCTGTTTTCATCCTTTCCCCCTCTCCTGGCAGTGGTCAGGCTGGAAGTGTTTAATTCTGGTTGTTGCAGGAGTTAGGGCGCGCAGGCAGGGTGAGAAGCCGGAGGGGCTTCTGGCGGAGGTTCCTGCATCTGATCGTCTCATTCTAAAGTTTAACGAGGAAACAGTCGCGATATTATACATAGAAATCATGAAACTTTATCATGATTTAAACTGCTAAATGTTGTCATTGTGTTTTAATTAATGTGCTGGCTTGATGGTTTGTCTAACTTTATCTTTTAAGAAAACGATATTTTTGGCAGCTCACTCTTTTCCTCTTTCCAGTTGTTGACCCTGACTTTTCCAAGTTTACAGAGCTAAAGTGTGAGTGTGAGTAAGAGAAAGGTTGACTGCTGTTTCCAGGGCTCATTGTTTCATAGCCTGGAGCACATCTGCAATTATCACTGCAAGATATCTCATAGGATTTCCTTCTCTTCAGTTTTGAGGAAAAAAGTTCCCAGTTAGAGCTTATTGGTTTTCCAGGCTGAATGAAAATAAACACTGGGCTGCTCAGTGAGAAAAGAAGGGGKGGGGGGGGGGGGGTCGCTATGTGTAAAATGTGAGTACAGAAATTGTGAAGGATTTCCAAATATAAAAGCTATAAAAATGTACTTTTCAGATTTCAAGTTAACATGTTTCTTGGAGATGAGATTTTACTTTAAAACACTTTTTTTTAAATTGTGCTTTTTCACAAACGATAGCATGCAACAAATCCAGTCAGGGTGTGGGTGTGGAGGGATATTTCCCCTGCCTTTAGCATTTTGGCTCAGTTTGCTCAGGCTGCACCAAAGTCCTGAACTTTTGTCTTTAACACATTTGCACAAAACCTCTCTGCTGCTTGTTGTCACATCACATTCAGAGGATTGTCATATGCTTTCTGCATTTTCAACCAAGAGGCAGGAACTGCATTTAGTCCAGATGCAACAGAAAGTGATGTAATGTTAAAGCATGAAAAATGTTTCAGTGTTGTGATATAAAAATATTATGAGGTTGTAAATGAAAATTGATGGTTGTTTTTTTCTCATGGTTCTGTTTGATTTTTTTTCCACATCTTGTATTAATAGTCAAAGTCAAGTGAAACTGCAACTATTTATTACAGCAGTCATTTGTTATGTTTTGTCTCATCAGTAACTTTCAGAATCCTTTAGAAGTTAGCATCTTTTTAAAATGCAGCAAAGAGGTCAACAGGCCTAAATAAAACATTACTTTTCACTTGTGAGCAGAAACACACTTGTGCATCGTGAGGATTATGTGAAGAACTCCTCATTAGTGACCACACAGGTCTTTACTTCCTGCCTCAGTGACCTCTCATGTGACCTCACAGTTTGCCCTCTTTTACATTATGTTCTTCTAAAGTGAATACTCCCTTTTATCTTGCTTACTTAATTTCTGAGCATGGTCACCTTTAGTTTTTGCTTTTTTTCTAATTACTCTTTATTGTCACCTTTGTTTGGTGGTGTTTTTATCTTGTATCCTCCTCTGTCACTGTAATCTCCAGACAGCCTGAGGGTATTTGTTCTGCCAGGAGGATGTGGAGGTAATTTAGCGGAAGGAAAAGCTGTCATTATCTCATTTCAATCAATTAGTGGGAATCGCTTCAAGCAGGAAGGAGGACTGATTTACCTCTGACCTGCAAGCTCATGCATTTTTTTCTTCTTCTTGAGGCACTTTTTGACACTTTCACTTTTCGCTGCAGGCAGAAACTTCCAGTCAAAAAAAATATTAATTGAAAAGTAAGTTTGAACCTACAAATATCTAAAAGTTTTTTTTTTACTTTCACTTTTTATTATTTTATTATCACTAAATGAAATTGGCGTTTGTAATAAAATGAATGTATAAAACATACAAATTCTTTCATCCTGCGTTTTCACTTTTTTCATAAGTTGTTCCAGTTCCTCCCTACTTAATTTCATTTTCCTGCTTTGTTGTTCATTAAAAGTCTTACTTTGTGACTCACGCTCTTTACATCCAAAATTTCAAACACAATAAGCTATTTGTCCCATTTGAGGCAGGGGGCCACTTGAAAACTCAAACGTTCCCATCGGAGTCCTGTTTTAATCACGCCATGTTAGTTTTCAGAGTTTAAAGTTTGTTTTTGCTTACAGCCTGTGAACAGCTGAGTTTGTTTTCTCAGTTGGCACTGCCCAGATCCGCACACAGACCGCTGTTCTTACAGCGGAGCTGGGTGAGCCGTCACCAGGAGTCAGATGGGAACTGCAGACGTGATGGAATGTAGGGCGGCTCTCATTCTGTCATCTTTCAGCTCTTTTCTTTGTCTGCTCTCCATCCATCGTCATCCATCTTTAACGCCGTAGCTCCTTCATTGCATTCAGTCTTTTCAGTGTCTCATGCATTTCTCAAGTTCAGCTCAGGTTCTCTCAAACATCTGATCTGATCTAAAACAATTATCAGAATTAAAAGACAAAAAAAAAAGATGGGGAAGGTGTAAACAGCAAAATAATGAATGTTTTAGGGAAGCAGAGAAAGCATTTGAGGTTTTTAATGTATGTGTAAAGATTGTCTGTTGAAAGAAACCCAAGGGAATCTTTGTCTGCAAGGTCAAAAAAGAGCCCTAAGTTTAAAGTTTCTACTTCTGACCCTTTTTTGCATCTCACGGTGCTGCACTCGTCAGGTTCTGCATGATTGTTAATTGGCTGCACCTGTAAAGGTGAAAAAAAAAAGTCTGTGTCCACTGAGTTGTTAGAATGTGTTTAACTGTCAGTGACGCTGAGGTGATCACAAACAGAGTTTATTCATCTGACGTAGACCTCCGAATATCTCAATAAGTCAGCTGTGCGGTGTAATTTCCCATGCATCGGCCCTCAGACAGTGACCTAAGATCGAGATGCAGATGGAGAAATCGGTGACGAGGGGGAAAACGGCACTGACAATAATTGTGTGTGAGCTGAGGAGGCGAAGGTAAACCCTGAGCCAGATGAGACACGACGGACGTTACGGAAGCTTGGACGGAAAGAAAATGTTTGACGTAAGAAAAAAATAAAGACAAAAAAGAGAGATGAGATGATTTAAGGCACAAGACATAAAAAAAAAACTGTGTGTGCAAAGTTCAAAATGAAAATTAAAAATCTGTTGTTGATTTGATTTGCGTTTGGAACTGATTCACAACATGCCAGGCTGATGAAGAATAAATCACTGCAGGCAAGTTTCATGTAAAAAAGGTTAAATGAGTTCCAAAACTTGGCAAAAGATGATGTTAAATGAACCATTTATCTTCCTCCAAAAACAAAGTATAAAAATATGCCTTTAAGGCATTTTATACAGTACATAGTGTACAGGCACTTTTTAAAAAATACAATTTAAGATGCATTGTTCATTCAATTTTATGCAAATAGTTGTGAACAGCTTGTTTATTTATTTATTTATTTAATAAAACATCTGAAAACACTTGGTTTTGTGTCACACTGATACAGCACAGAGACTGTGAACCTTCACTAACCTTGGATTAAACAAACCTTTTCAAACTGCATTTAGATTGAACTATCTGATAATAACAATCACCAGACTGTAAATTTCTTGGCTAATTTCCTTTTCGGCCGGTTCAGAATCCTCCTCTGCCTGTTTTGAGCTCTTGTGTCAAACTTGTGAAGTATCTGTCCTTGACCGTGGAACATGACTGCTCAATCCAGTGCCGGGAATTTCATCATTTTCCTCATTATGAACGTTTTGTTCTCGGTCGATCCCTTATGAAAGATAAAACACAATGTTTACTTTTTGCTCTGATTTGAAATCTCACTTTAGGTTTAGCTGTGTTGCCTTTTGTTGTAGCTGTCGAAAGATCAGTTCAGCAGCAATGTGCCGTTTCAAAAAAGATGAACAAATATACGCTTTTCTTTTTAAAAATTAGAACATTTTAAATTTACAGCCATGTAGAATTTGTTAAAATCTTTAAATAGTTAACAAAAGAGCTGTAAAATCCTCTTGTGTCAGTTTATCATCCTTTTAAAAAAAGCCAAAAGGTAAAAAAAATGTGTTTCTTGATGAACACCAACCAGTTAATCCCAGAAGATAAATGTAACACCAGTTATCTTCTACAGTCCTAGGCTAAACTGATAAACAGCTGCTGGATTTAAATGGCTTGTCTTGATAAACAACACTCTGATGCCTTAAAAGGTCAAAGTGCGCCGATCTTACAAGGCCCTACAGCTTAAACCAGGATACTCTCTGAATTAAAACTTATACTCTGATAGTTGGCAGGAATCTGTGAGGATTGTTCATGAAAGAGAGAAAACATCAACACTTTTTCAAAGAACAGGCAGGAGATTAATGAATGAAAGATCTGTTAATGTGTAGAGGAAGTGAATGATGGATTCATCAAAGACTGAATGTAGAATGGAGAGTGAATAGAGAGGGAAGCAGGGAAGCTCAGGTATGATGGAAGTACCAGCAGAGTGAAGATAAAAAGAAGAGGTCACGATGGTGAAGAGGGATGAATGAAAAAAAAGACAGAGAGGTGAAATAAATGAAAAGGATAGAAAAAAACTGAAGGTTTGAAGAGGAGAGGGATGCGAGAGAAGGGCAAGGATGACAGATGAATGGTTAATGGGTAAGAAGGAGCAAAGCTGAAGGCTGAACAACACTGATCCCTTTGAGAAGTTAAGGTTGAGGGTTCAAGTCCCAACAATGTGGCTTTGACCGTCTGTCATATAGATTACTTTCACAGGAACTGTGTGAAAAGTGTGTTTTAGACGCACAGCTGGAGTGTCCCTCCATCTCTTTTCTTTGTGAGAAATTTATGGCCGTCCACTGTTATTCAGTTAGCGTGTTAAAATAAAGAGTTGTTAGATGTGTGTGTTTGAGTGAACT